AGCATTTAGTCTTTTTTTCACCCATCTAATGACCTCTACGAAAATAGGAACCCTACATAGATTATCTGCAGGTCGATCAACGAATATCATATTTCTGTTTGTATATTTTTGTATAATCTATTTTTATGTCAGTTATAATAACCATTAAAGTAAAATATTTAATAAAAACTTATCATTTTTGGAAAATAATTCTCAGCCAGCCTATCAGTATCGTTTTTACAATTTAAATTAAATTGTAAAAATAAAAAAATGAGAAAAATCCATTGCCTACCTTTTTTTAGTTTGTAATGTAATTGCACATTTGGTTAATATTTAAATTTTTTTGTTTAACTTGATGAAACAGAATAGAAACTTTTGAATTTTAGATGCGCTATCACTTATAGTATTTTAAATTTAACACATTAACACATTATATGTGAACTTTTAGATAAATTTAACTGTAAATTATCCGCCCTGGCGACTTGTAAAAAAAAAATTAACACATCGACAAATTTACAGTGCTATGTGAGCTTTTAGATAAATTTACATGCAAATTATCCGCCTTGGCGACTTGTAAAAAAACAAAAAACAAATTTAACACATTTAACACATCGACACATTTATAGTGCTATGTGAGCTTTTAGATAAATTTAACTGTAAATTATCCGCCCTGGCGACTTGTAAAAAAAAAAAGAAAAAAAAGCACATTTAACACATCGACACATTTACAGTGCTATGTGAGCTTTTAGATAAATTTAACTGTAAATTATCCGCCCTGGCGACTTGTAAAAAAAAAAACTAATTTAACACATCGACACATTTACAGTGCTATGTGAGCTTTTAGATAAATTTACATGCAAATTATCCGCCCTGGCGACTTGTAAAAAAAAACTTTATTATGAACGTTAATTTCAGGTTCATTTTCCACACTTAATTTATTTAAGGTTCGGGACAAAAAGATAGTTCACTCAAATTTTTTCGTCAAAAAAAAATGTTGATCATTGATATTAATTTTTTTTGCAATACATAGTTTATTTTGATAAAATTGTAGCATTAGAGCAACATAATATTCGTTGTGTTAAATTTTTTTTCTAAGAATCAATATATAATAATCGATTTGGGGTGGGGTGGGACAAAAAGAAGCGCACTTGTTATTTATTTACTAATGAAAACAAATCCCTCCAAGTGAACAAGACCAATCGAGATATATCTCTGCTTTCATTCAGCAAAATCTTTAACATGAGTTGAGAAAAATATTATTCACCGAATGAAAAACCGAGGATTTTGCATTTCTGATAACTCAAAAAATACCGGTAGGAGTAAAAAAGTGATTTTAAACATTTTGGAATATCCAGAAAGCTACGGGACAAAGAAATCTGGAAGACCGCCTGCCTTAACAACACGACAAAAAACGGTCAATTTCAAGGGCAGTGTTCAACTCTAAGGTCCATCAAATTACTGAAAGAGCTGGTATAGAGGCAAATTTGAAAAAAGTTCAAAGATGTGTGGTGATTAGTGACCGTTAGTCAATGATTCGGAGATCGTGAGATGCGGTCTGGTATGACGTAGGTATGTATGAATATCTCACTGGCACTCTCAACACGACACACAAGAATGGCACAATTACGCAGAAAACAAACACTTTGAGCCCTGAAGATGATTTCAATAAAGATCGAAACGTTGGCACGATAAAGAAAATGTTTTTCTAAAACCTACCACACCAGACCGCATCTCACGATCTCCGATTAAAGTTCAAAGGGTCATTCGCTCCTCGTATCAAAAGGAAAAAAAATGAAAGGGATACCACCTCTAAGAAGGAGGGGGAAGAAGTTTGCCCAGGATTATTCCAATGGAAGGAAGTCCTGTTCACCGATGAAAAAATTCAATCTCGATGTCCTGATGGTTGCGCTCGTTATCATCAAAACCTACGTAAAGAATAAAATATGTTTTCTAAGAGGAAAATGGGAGGTGGCAGCGTTATGACATGGGGTCGCATTGGCTAGTCACAAAACTGACATTGTGTTAATTAATGAAAAGTCAAGTCACATTGATAGAAAATCAATTTAAGACGTACTTTCGAAATGGTTCCCAAAGATAACATCATTTTCCAGAAGGATAATAAAACGGTAAAAGTTGTGTGAAAAGTTCTAAGCAAAGGCCGGCAAGGTCCGCCTTTTTTTCCCACCCCAAATTGAGTATTATTGTCATTAATTCTTTGAAATTATTTTGTATTAACCTAATGGTATAATTTATTCAAACTTTAGCAAAATAAGCTATGAACTAAAAAAAATTTAATGTAAACAATTGTTTAACAGGGAAAAATTTGGGTGGGCTATCTTTTTCTCCTGGACTTTATATACTGTACTGAAACAATTTAAAATTCTTTTTCTTGGAAAACTCTGAATCAAGATTAGATTAGGCAAACGAATACTTTTCAGGTAAAGATTGATAACAAAGTATGAAATTATTTAAATCACAGACTGCAAGGTCTCACAATTCAACTTTTAACGCCCGATAACAATTTTCACTTTAATCATAATTAAATGTTATGTAAAATCACTAATCGTATCTACAAAAGTTGTAGCAAAAGACTACATGTATACTATTTTTTAAGATCCTGGTTATATGGGTATAGGGCAATCAGATTATCATTTTATCAAGAAATCGATTTCCGGAAGATGGTTTTCTTTTTAGATAAAGTACTTGCATAACTTTCGGACTTTTGGAGTGTGTAATATATTACGCCCTTTGAGGGCTATCGTATTCCCCGTTCTATACCTACAGCATACCTGTGAATCCTAATTTATCATGAAATTTGATTAGTAGGCCCATTTCAATGGTTGAATATCTTCTACGGCTATGTTGTACATTCCAAAACACTTCCTCCTGCAGGCAAATGTGGTGACTCAGTTTGTCCGTAGGTGTGTTGGTGACTCGTCTCTTTCTTTCCAGTATCTGCACGTGCCGTGTAGTATAACCTATACAAATCTTCTCCGCCCATTCATTTTGCAGTGTTCTGTCAAGAATCCTGGCAGGATTCGAAGGTTTTCTTACTTCCTTTGATGCATTTCGTCGTTTCTTTCCTTCCAAAATTTGCTAGATGGTTCTTAGATTGTTTAGGTCCAATGAGTGTATCCCACTGTTTCCTCATTTTCAATTTGTCTTTGCAGCCCCTTTCATTGCATGTGCGTCCGCTCTCTCCTTGTCATCTACTCCCAGATGTCCTAGGACCCAGCAGAGGGTGCCTTTGTTTTGCTATTTTGTCATTAAGCACCATCTTTGAGCTAATGATGTACGAACTTAGTGCTTTGATGGCTGCTTGGTTATCTGACATAAAGCTATATTCTTATTTTTGTACCCTTTTTTCAACTGAATGGACTTGGGGATGGAAAATACTAAGGCGGTCCGAACACTCCTGCCCCCGTACCTTTTGGTATTTAAATTTGTTTGGAAATTTTTCTTTCACTTCATGTAGTCTCTTGGGGCATTGAATATCCGTCCATAAAGTCCGGGATGTATAAATATACAAAAGGGGCGGCAGGTCGATTTCTCAATAAAAGGTAATCTAGCTGTCTTTACATGTATAATCTATACATTATAAAATGTATATCGTTTATTATTAAAAGTTAATTTACTCCTAGCAGGTTTTTTTTCTGTACTCGTTTATGTAAATATTATCAATAAATCGAATTTTTATTATGTTCTACAATTAATATATAATTATCATTTATTTGTACATTTATTATCAATAAAAGGTAATCTGCCTGTCTTTACAACTGTCTGTATAACCTTTACATTATAAAATGTATATCGTTTATTATTAAAAGTTAATTTACTCCTGGCAGGTTTTTTTCTATACTCGTTTATGTAAATATTATCAATAAATCGAATTTTTATTATGTTCTACAATTAATATATAATTATCATTTATTTGTACATTTATTATCAATAAAAGGTAATCTGCCTGTCTTTACAACTGTCTGTATAACCTTTACATTATAAAATGTATATCGTTTATTATTAAAAGTTAATTTACTCCTGGCAGGTTTTTTTCTATACTCGTTTATGTAAATATTATCAATAAATCGAATTTTTATTATGTTCTACAATTAATATATAATTATCATTTATTTGTACATTTATTATCAATAAAAGGTAATCTGCCTGTCTTTACAACTGTCNCCAGGCCCTGAAGATGATCTCAATAAAAGATCGAAACGTTGGCACGATAAAGAAAATGTTTTTCTGAAACCTACATCACACCCGACCGCATCTCACAATATCTGAATAACTATTAAAAGTTACTTTACTCCTGGCAGGTTTTTTTTTCTATACTCGTTTATGTAAATATTATCAATAAATCGAATTTCTATTGTTTTATAATTAATATATAATTATCGTTTTCTTAATTAAACTTGTCTAGGGCATGGCTGAGGAATTTTTCTGAAAGTTTACATTTTCAAAAATTCTGTTTTTCCATTGTAGATTTTTAGGCAGAACAGTTCCACTTTTCAATTTATTACAACTTTAATTAATTTTAATATTCATCTACGGAAATAACTGAGGCGGGGTGAGTATGTCCGTTCTCTTTTTGTAAAGGATGAAGTCTCATCCTTTACAAAACGTAATATCTATGCTAGACAACAGCCAGATGCTTAGGTCGATTGATAGTTTTTCGATGAAAAAATTGATTTTTAGACTTTAAAAGGTTAACAATCAACATTTTACCCGAAAAAACACTACAATAATTAACTCAATTGTATGAAACATTTTTGGTGTTGGAAAATAAAACGGGATTTGGCAATGTGCCTCATTAGAAAGGAAGCGTCTTTAAAGAGAGAATGTAGGACAAGTTTTATTGTAATTTTTTTTTGAAAAGTTACTTTATTTTACTTGAATTTCACTTTTCGATCAGATCTGAACAATTTGTCACTTATGTTTGAATAGTGTGCAATAAATAGCGCTGTATGTGAAAAAGAGTTAAATATTTTAAAAATTAAGTAAAGTAAATAGTAACTCACCGCTTGAGGGTAGTATCGGCTCATTTTGTTCCTTTCCTGTAAAAAAAACAACGAATAAAATAAATCACTTGGCTCTGATGTGTCTACGACGGGAGTGTAGAACGGGACTGGCCTCGAAGGATGACTGCAAGGCTATTTGGGAAGTGAACGAAGAGAGTGGGAAGTGCAAAGGCTGACGGAGTGGATTCCGTGGATGTTACATCAGCGTGACTCACCCGTGGAGGGGGCGGCTTATGTTGTACTGGTACATTGTACCTGCATTTTAACACATACGGGCTAGTTGAGTGAGTGAGCAAGCCCGAAAGTTGTCTGGACGTCGTCCAATGCGTTGTTTTAATTCAATCTTGTTTTAACGACTCACTGAGTTCATTACTCCCTTAAAAATCAATACTGTTTTAATTTTGAATATGCAATATGCAAATAAAAGGAAGATTTATCGAACCGCGTCCTCAAGTCTCTGATAATATGATTGTTTTGTGTCGAAATATGTCGGGCGATGAACTTTATGGTTAGGTCGTATTTTAGCTGGTCTGTTCTATTACTCACGCATTCCCTTAGTCCTCAGGTGAGAATGAGACAGGAGTGTGACAAACGTTTGACAGACAAAACCAGCGAGGACGATTGAGCCAACAAGATCGGAAACAACCAAAAACCGATCCATAGCTTGTGAGTTTGTCTTTTGTCATTACAAACTTACTTATGATGAAATGATGAAACGAGTTCGGCAGACCAAACCAGCGAGGATAGGACAACCAGGATGATCCGAGATAACTCAAAAATAAATTCGTTNTGAGTTTGTCCTTTTTATGATTTGCTAAGGTTATATGAGAAAGGGGCAGGCGACCGACAAACCTACCAATGAAGAATTGGTGAAACGAGTTTGGCAGACCAAAACAGCAGTGAGGATGATAGGACGCAGGAGACAGCCGAAAATACACTTACTTTCTCCTCTCTTTAAAATTTCCAATGGTCAACTGAGAAGAACTGAGGATAAATGATAAATCTACAACTGAAGATTAATGGCCAGTGAGGATAAATTTACCAGGATGATCAGAGACGATCAAGTTGAAAGAATTATCGTAGGCACGTCTCACAGCAATAGTCTGATCACTTTTGTGACAGTCCTGGTCCGCGTATCCCCGCTGGTTTTATCTATCAGATTAGTTTCTATGTTTCGGTGTTGTCTGTTGTTTCAGTTGTTGAGGCGAGTTTTCCCAAGTTTCTTCAAAAGTTATATAAGAAAGAGTATGGTATATTGACCAAAAAACAGAGTTTATTTACTGAGTTTTTCCTTTAAAATTTTCCAAAGTTAGCTGAGAAGTAAACTGAAAATAAATGATAACGGATCGGATTTATTGATAAACGTATGACCGTCCAAATCCAGACCAGCATGATTCTCCCTTGCAAACCACTGAAAAATACAGAAACGCTTTCTTTGGCTAAAAGCGAGGAGAGGCGGACCAAGATGATGGGAAAATATCACCTCTGCATTTGGTTAATGTTGAATTTGTAACTCGCTGTGATGTGTCTATGTTTTTCTCGCGCTTTTGTCCTTTTTTTAAGTTTTGAGAACGTTGTATGAGAAGAAATGAATGATAATGAAAAAACAACTTAAGATGGCGATAAGTGTTTGACCGACCATACCAGATAGGACAGGATATTGGAAGAGCAAGCATAAAAGTTAATTTAGTGGCGAAATAGTAACACATCATATCATATAAAATTTGAGTTGCATATATCAGTAGTCAGATCGTTTTTGGTCTTTAGTCAGCATATCCTCACTGGTTACGTCTGTCAAACTAGTTTTTGCGTTTGATTAGTGGCTTACTGTGATTTTTCCGCCAGTTTTCCATTTTAAAGTTCTGATAACGTTATGTGGGAAGGAGATAGGGAAATAAACATACTCAGACATACGTTTGACAGGCACATGTCGGACCAGGATGTGACCACAAACTACAGGTATTTTAATTTAAAGTCTATAACAATTGCATTAAATGCTATGATTAGGAATAATTCACTAATTTCGTGGTCCGCTTGACCAATTAATACATTACAATTAATTAAGGTTTTTAGTTGAGATGAAAAAAAGTTAATGGCACGAGCGGGATTCGAACCCACGATCTTCGGCTAGATACGCCGCTGCTCTACCACTTGAGCTATCGTGACCTCGATCCACTCGCACATCAACTTCCTATCTCAACCCCACCTTATGAGTTTTCCCTCCTTTTTGTCATTTTTGAATTAGGAATAATAAATACAGAAGATAAGGCAGAGGATAATCCAAGTCATAAATTTAACCAAAAATACACTTTTTTGTTTATTTCCTTGATTATCACCGAACAACCTGTCCTCCCTATTCACACCTATAGCTCACTTAAGAGTTATTTCTTAGGACTCGATTGACGAAATAACACTCAGACTGAAGCCGGCACACGCCTGATACACGAAACCATAGACAATATGACACCATAATGGTTCTAAACGAACAACCCATGTATTAATGTGTGGTGTTTAGTGACCGTTAATCAATGATTATTCGGAGATCGTGAGATGCGGTCTGGTGTGACGTAGGTTTTAGAAAAACATTTTCTTTATCGTGCCAACGTTTCGATCTTTATTGAGATCATCTTCAGAGCTCAAAGTGTTTGTTGGGCCACTTGGGCACTCTCAACACGACAGACAAGAATGACTCAACAACACTACATCTACACGGAAACAAAAACTTTGGGCACTGAAGATGATCTCAATGAAGGCCGAAACGTTGGCACGATAAAAAAATGTTTTTCTAAAACCTACGTCACACCAGACCGCATCTCACGATCTCCGAATAACCCATGTATTGTTCTATTGTTTACTTTTTATTTTTACTGTTTGGAATGTTCAATTAGTTTTGTTTTTGGTTGATTACTTTGCTTATTATATTAGTCATCAAAGACAACTGGGAGACTGAAACTGCTTATTTTTATATTTTTGATGCATTTCTTTTAAGAGGGTTCGCAACAGCAGAGGTCGTATCAACCCTCCGAGGTGCCGGTGTTTTTTGAAAAAAAAAGAAGCCTATTTCTAAGTACGTTGGGTTCGAATGCATGCCGCTTGACTCGAACCCGGGACCGTTACCTTACAGTGATGAGCGCCTCGCCAACCATTGCGGCCACAGACGCCCCTAAAACTGCTTATTATTAACAATAAACATTGCCTTAGTTATTGTAGTTTGAGAAACCTATAAAACTAAAAGTGATAGATAAGTGTATTATAATAAAGAATTTATAGATATATTAAACCAAAAAAACTGCATTTTCTACTGCTGCTATTATTTAACTGGACCTGTACCAGTGCTATTATTTATAACCCTTTTCTCACAATAAATGATTGTAAATAAAAATGGTCTCTTTTTTTAGGTTTCCTAATGAAAGTATATTCTTTAGACCTCACCCTTTTACAATGTCTTTATTATTTTGTATTGTCCGCAGCACTGTTTAGAGGGTGGTCTCTCTCAAATCGAAAATCCAAAGGTAGTTCGGGTCATAATTGTCACAGTTTTTCGATTTCTTGACGGTCCTACGCGGAAAAATTTTCAAGAAAAAGACCAGATTATAAACACATGGCGTTTATACATATTTTATTTCATTCAATATAATAATAGTATCTTTTTATCACGCAGCTCAGACTCTGTAACACAGGGATCCAGGGAGTTATGGCTTCGGTATGGACAATAATAAACGATGAATCTGAGATCTAATTGTAATAAAAATCCTGCTCAACATGCATTATGCATTTAACAAAATCTAATTTAGCCTTCCAGATAGTTTATGAAACTGCACCATTTTTGAAATCTTCTAAAATTGATCTCATAGATAATTTAAAAAAATCGTTTAAACTGCAAGATTGATCATTTATCTTTATTTGTTTCTACAAAGATATTTGTTAAAAATGACAGCATTGAAGTAAGTCATTGAATAGGGCAAGGCTGAGAGTAAAACCAGGATAAAAACGAACCTTGAAACGAATTGACTCATAGCCTGCGGTTTAATCATTTACTGTTTTTGTTTTCTTTCACATTTTTATTATACACAAAACATTCATTTCCTGATGACAAATCGACACCACTTGTGACTTTTGCTCTCTTTACACATTATATATTAAAATAATTATTTTTAAATATAATATCATAGTATTGTTAGTTTATTTTTACTGTACTAATATTGTTTCTTTTATAAAAAGATTATTTTATTGAAAAATAAAGTTTGAACGGAATAAACACAAATGAACATATGAACTTTAAATAGAAAAGTGGGAACGTCAGTTGTTTAAATCTGTGTATATTTATTGATTGAGATTTTCTTGTTTTTTAATACTTATTTGTTTTATGTACTGTATTCACTTGCATTACTATAATTACAAGTAAAATTTGGTCATAAAATTTAAAACTGAATTACATGTCTGTTTAAATTTGACAACTGAATTCGCCAACTGTTTATCATACAAATGTTACATTGTAACAATCATAAAAAATATTTACGTAAACTGTTTAAATCTGTTAGCATAAAGAAAAAAAAAGTTATTGCCTTTCCTGTATCTGTGTTTATTTTTGGAAGATAAACGACAGGATAAGAAATTATATAAACTGATCGATATAAGAATATTAAACGCCATAATCGAAAATAGCTTAGAAAAAATAAGCGGTAGACATTATGTTAACATTGTCATTATGTCATCGTTGACAATAGGAAAATCTGTACAGATGGATAATTTTTATTTTAAACTGAAAAGTCAGATGTCCACAATTCCAAGTGTGTTTCGTATTGGTGTATTTACTTCATGTGATGAGTCGCAGTGGTATTTAGGCGAAAAGGATTAAAGTTTGACGTATTGGAGCCAAGGACGTCTACTGTGCCCGGATGTACTGACTCAGACGAAACCTTTCCGATCCAGTTAACTCACTAACTGACCACTCCCAACTAAGTTTCTAGTTCCCTCAGGAATTGAGATAAGTGATTGGGATGGATTAGAATCCTATCTTTTCATTAGATGAGCGA